ATTAAATTCCAAAGAGTGCCTACTCCATAAGGCAGTGGAGACCAGCAGTCGCTTTAATACCTGAGACTATTGAGACAGAGACACAGAAACTGGTAGCAAGTGTTTTATAGGCAGAATGACTTTGCTAAAACAGGAATCAACTGAATTTCCAAGGACTGTGTAGGCTGGCATAATGGATTGGAATCCAAAAGGCCCCAGATATGTGTCCGTTGTCTCCACACAGCACCTCCCCCAAAACCAGTGTCATAGGAAATGAGAAAAGCAGAGAGAGAAAGTTCCCTTATTCTCTAGAGGTTTAAATTCCAAATTTCTAGAAGGAGGAACTGATCTTATTTTTTGGATATTTAATAGATAAATCAGCCCATCCCCAACCCAGGCCAACTCCAGATTTGAACACAAAGATGCACCTCTCACCAGAGCTTTCAAGAAGAGGAAAGAGTGAGCCCTTTTGGGAGAAGCATGTTTTCTGTTTCATTCTCTACTAATTATATGTCTAACAGATCTAACCTACAGTCAGAAATATGAAGAAATAAATGAGCAGGAATAGGTGGCCCATAATCAAGAAAAAGAACAACCAGTATAAGGAAACTACAGATGATGAAAATGTTGGATATGCAGACAAGAACTTTAATATGGCCTTTATAACTATGTTAAATGACTTTTGAGGAAACATGGTGGATGAAGTATTTCAGCAGAGAAATGGAAACTATAAAAAAGAAATAAATGGGGGCACCCAGGTGGCTCAGTGGTTAAGCCTCTGCCTTCGGCTCAGGTCATGATCCCAGGGTCCTGGAATCGAGCCCCGCATCGGGCTCTCTGCTCAGCAGGGAGCCTGCTTCCTCCTCTCTCTCTGCCTGCCTCTCTGCCCACTTGTGATCTCTGTCTGTCAAATAAATAAAATCTTAAAAAAAAAAAAAAAAAGAAAGGGAAATTCTATACCCAGAGAGTGTAATAGATGAAATGAAAAATTCATTAAGTGGGCCTAATTGCTGATAGTGCACATGGAAAGAAAGGGTCAGTGAACTCAAAGACAGAACAATAAAATGTATCCAAATTGAAGCACAGGGTATGGGAAGGAAATAACAGAGCATCAAACTTGTGTGACTACATCAAATTATCTAAACAAGTATAATTGGAATTCTAGAAGGGAAATACAAGATAGTGTAAAGAAGTAATGGGCCAAGAGTATTACACCTCTAATAAAAAACATTAATGTAGGAGATATAAAAAGCTTACCAAATCCCAAGAAGGATATATATAAATGAAATCTCACCTAGGTATATTTTAATTAAACTGAAGGAAATGAAACCTAAAGAAAAAATCATGAAAGCAGCCAGGGGGAAAAATGCATCACATTCAGAGAATAATAGGAAGAATTGATGGCTCCATCCTCATAAGAAATAATGGGATAAATCAGTGAAGTTCTGAAAGACAATGGCTATCAACCTAGATTTCAATACCCAGCAAAAATGTCCTTCATATATAAATGCCTGCTAAAGACTTTTCAGGAAAAAAAGTTACCCACAGAGAGATTCTACAAAAGGTTCATCAGTCTAAATGGAAATGATCTCAGATGAAAACCTGGATCTGCAGAAGGAATGAAAACACTAGAAAGGATAAATATATGTATAAATATAAAAAGCTGATTTTTTCATTCTTAAAGACTACTGACTGCTTAAAACAAGTATTGTGACAGTATGTTCTGGGATTTATAACATGTAGAGGTAAAATATGACAGTAGCATAAAGGATAGAAGGGTAAATAGAATAATACTGTTTTAAGATACTTAACATTGTTGGTAAAGCAGAAAAATCTTAATTCAGGGTATACTGTAACAAATTAGAGATGTCTGAGACAATCTCTCACCACTAAAAAAACAGAAAAATGTGTAGCTAACAGTATAGCCATCGGGGATGTAAAATGGAATAGTAATAGTATTTGATTATTTCAAAAGAGTATGGAAAAAAGAAGAAGGAAGAATGGAACAGATATAGATGCAATGAAATAGCAAGATGGCAGACTTAAACACAGCCATATTGGTAATCAGAGTAAATGTAAATCAAAAAGCAGAGACTGTCAGACTGGACAATCTAGTGGTGGATATTTATTGACACACTGATTTTTTTGTTTGGTAGAGTAATTTACTCTACAGATGTAATATTCTTAAGTTCATTTGAGGTATTTGATAAATTGGACCTTTTAACTGTATTACTACTGCACAACTCACGTATTTAGTAAACAAAAAGTTAATTTAAATAAACACAATTGTATTTTCATTTTGTTTATTTGTTTCCCAGAAAGTGAGCATATTAGGTAGGATTCTCTAGAGAAATACCACCAGTAGGATGTATATATAGATTTATTTTGAGGAATTGGTTTACATGATTGTGGATTCAGGCCAGGTACAAAACCTGCAAGGTTAGGTGGCAGGCTGGAGACCCAGGGAAGAGTTATAGTTCAAGTCCGAAAACAATCTGTTGACAAAATTCCTTCTCTTTCGGGGGAAGTCAGTCTTTTTCTTAAGACCCAGGATGAAGCCCTCTCACATTATGGAAAACAATCTGCTTTACTCAAAGACTACCAATTCAAGTGTTCATCTTATCCAAAAAATACTTTCACGGAAGTATCTGGAATGTTTGACCAAATATCTGGGTACTGTGGCCTAGCCAAGCTGACAAACAAAAATAACTAGCACAGCAATCTATTTATTATGAGCTTTCACTTATCATCATACCTTAATAAAAGTGAAATAACACACAAACAGATTTTTTAGATAAAATTTACTTAAAATAGTTGTTTGGGGACATTTTTTCTTAAGTTTATTTTTTCTGTATATTCTTTACCAAAAGCTTTATTAAGCATGTTTGATTGTCTTTCCAAACGGTATTATTTCAATAGGCAATCTAAGTTTCAAACTGAGAATTTATCTTTGGGTAATCCACTTTTCAAAATGTTAGGGTGTTTTTTGTTTGTTTTTAATTTTATTTTATTTTATTTCGGTGTTCCAAAATTCATTGTTTATGCACCACACCCAATGCTCCATGCGATACGTGCCCTCCTTAATACCCACCACCAGGCTCACTCAACCCCCCACCCCCCTCCCTTCCAAAACCCTCAGTTTGTTTCTCAGAGTCCACAGTCTCTCATGGTTCGACTCTCCTCTCCGTCGTTTTTATCACCTTGTTATCCTGAAATTGAAACTGTAAAATATGTAATTTTTTCTTTGTAATTATATAAGCTGAAGATATATATTTGGGGTTTTTTGTTTTTTTTTAGTTTTTTATTTTCAACATTTTGAAATTACTTTCTAATTGGATGTGAATTTTAAAATTAGTAATCAGTCTAGGTCAATTTTATAACAGTCAGATTACAATAGTGAGAACACACATGTAAAATGTTGCTAATTCCTGAGTCTCGTGGTGTGACCACTCGTTTAAAAGCCAGTGTATGCCAGACTTCTCAGTGAATGTGGCCAAAGAGGGCTGTGGGAGTGTGGGCACCAGGGAAGTGGGGATTTCACCATTTGTTCTGTAGACCTCAGTATTACTAAACTCTCACAGTAAGGATCAACATTATCTGAACATTTTCTAATATGTTTCCTAGGGGTTTTTTAAAAATTTTTTTATTCAAGGCCAGTGTTACTCCATGAATAAAAATGAATAAATAAAAATAAAAATAAAGTGATTTCCATAAAAATCACTTTAAAGATTTTATTGATTCTTAAGGCAAAACTGTTAATTTGCTGTCTTTTTTTTTTTTTTTTTTTTTTTTTTCAAAAAAAGGACATCTCTGTTTTACTCAATTCTTGAGGTCAGAAAGTACAACTTAGCCTTTATAATTTATCTTTTTTCATTGATCCCAAGTATAGCTACTCAGTAAATATTACTTGATTGAATAAGTATTATTTATACTTCATTGGCTAATAATAGACGCTGAGAAAATTTTTTTAAATGAAACAAAAACCATGTTTTTTTAAGATCATGTTTTATGATACTTTGTTCATTTTTAGTATATTCTTGCACAGTGATAAAAAGTGATTGTTTTGTGATGCTCTCACTTAATCCTTTATCATACTTGAAGAAAAATGAGTTTTAAATGCCTGTAAATGAGAGAACTGGTGTTTGTTTCAACTAGAAATTGTGCTAATTGCTAACAGTACATTGCAGTTCTCGCTTCTAACCAGACCTGCATGTAACAGCCTATACCATTATTTGAAAAAACTTTTCTAATGTCCTGACTCACATATCGGTTTGCTGATGGACAGAGACTGTAAAGCAAAGGAGACCCACACCTGTGTTCGTTTTTAACTTGAGCTAGACTTTGAACCAGTATCTTTACAGATGAGATACAATGTGTTATATCCTTAAAAGCTGTTTATTAAAAGGAATGCAGGAGAGGACATTGGGAACAAAAAGGTAAATCTACACATGATAAAAGGAATTTTCTGAAGTTTAGCAGTCATTATTTTAAAGGAGAGAATCAGGGCAACTTTTTTTTTTCAGACACTCCATGGTGATTGAATAAATAGAATATGGCATGGTAGGAAGTCAAATGATCAAAGAGAAATTCAAGTGGATTTATTTATTCTTTTTGAGAAAATACTGAGGTGATTCCTTTTATAGCCTTTGTGATATTTCTTTATGAAAACTTGACGACCTCAAGTCAGAAATAAAACTTTAATGGAAGAAATGCAGCAGAGTGGAGATAATGATATAATTTTTGAGCCAAGAGCAGGATATGGACACATCTTGCACTATTGCTAAACACCGCTTGAATGGGAAGATTGGCTCAGCTCACTTTGAATTGGGTCGCTTAGTTAGCTAAACTCTCCAACTGTTTCTGACCAAAGAATTCATGATACGACTTTAAAGGATCCTGCCATTCATGTGAGGCTTTTTTTTCTTATAAGCTGTAGGAGTCACCTCTTATTGACATAAATGTTTTTAAAATAAAATGGTTAGGTATAATAAGCAAATATTCACCATCTTTTCTTTTCATAGGGATTAACAGCATGGAAAGAAAGCCTGGTAACCATCATGTAGATACAGCACCAATGGTAAGGCAGTCTATTTCTGCATTGTTCAAATGGATAAGCTACAAATTGATACTGGTTATAGTGACACAAAATGCCACCATAGAAAAAGCTTGTAACCTTCCTTTTTTTTTTTTTTTTTAAAGATTTTATTTATTTATTTGACAGAGAGAGAGAGATCACAAGTAGGCAGAGAGAGAGGCAGAGAGAGAGGAAGGGAAGCAGGCTCCCTGCCTAGCAGAGAGCCTGATGTGGGGCTCGATCACAGGACCCTGGGATCATGACCCAAGCCGAAGGCAGAGGCTTTAACCCACTGAGCCACCCAGGTGCCCCGTAACCTTCCTTTTACCAAAAGTTATATCCCTTCCAGAAAATTAACCTCATGTTTTCTTACTTAATGAGGAAAACATACTAATTTTTACCAAGATATAGGAAAATAAGATACTCTATCATTTTTACAGGTACTTATTTATATTATGTTATATATAGAATGATTTTAATTTAAAAATATCTCATATTTTGAACAAATTAATATAAATACGCAAATTGATTTACACTCTTTTTAAAAGGAGTGTTATTTTGCACACTAGCATCATTATTTAGAGTGAATGTTTCATTTCTTTTATGGATTGCTATGCTTTATTATTATAGCAGTGAAATCTTTTATCCCTCTTCCATTACTGCCAGACAACAAAAGGCATTTAACAATTACAGTACCTATTTACTATGTTAAAAATAATTATACAAGAGAATGTAGAAGGAAAACAAATTTCCCTTTTAATCTCTGAATATAATATTTGAATAAAATATGTACCAGTTGCCAGTTTCCACTTGAGTCATATGACGATATAGGCTAGCACATATTTTACTCTTCACCAAGCATAATCTTGTTTCTCTTATCCTTTCTATACATTAAGTCTTCCAAGTACTCCATAGAATTCATCATTTCCTGTTAGAAAGATTTGGTAATATATTTTAGGGACATAAAGACAATATTAAATCATATTTAACTTTATTGATAATATTTTCCTCACTGGCAGATTGACTCCACTTTCTATTTGTAAAAAATTCACGTGATTGAGACAACATGTTTGATAAATTAGTATGTGGGGCTCTGGAAAAGAGTACTGTTTGAAGAATTGAGTATCATTATAATCATGAAAAATACTTGGCTAGGGGCATGTGGGTGGCTCAGTTGCTTAAGCGTCTGCCTTCAGCTCAGGTCATGATCCCAGGGTCCTGGAACTGAGCCCCATGTCAGGCTCCCTACTCAGCAGGGAGCGTGCCTCTCCCTCACCCTCTCCCTCTGCCTTCCGCTCCCCCTGCTTGTGTACTCTCTCTGTCAAATAAATAAATAAATCTTAAAAAAAAAAAAAAAAAGGAAAGAAAGAAAAATACTTGGCTCTAGTGTGTATTGCAGTTATACTGGTAAGTATGCTAAAATAGTAGTTACAACATTGTGTAAATTGTGTTTTTTAAGATTAAAAAAAATGAAGACTAGCAATTATGGGAAATAATTTCTTTTCTCTGAGGTGTAGGTCTTAAAAGTTGAGGTGCCTGATGTGTGACTTGAACCTTTTGCTCTTTGGGGAAAACTCCAGGTTTTACTTTTTCTCCTGGTTGTGGGTCACTGTCCTGGAACGGGGTTTATGGCAAGGTTGTACCTCAGGCTCTCTCCTACATGCTTCTGTGTGGTTTTCTTCTCGTTTGCCTCAGGTGTAGTCAGCATTCAGCCAGTCTTTAGGTTTTGTTTTTTTGTTTTGTTTTTTTTTAAGATTTTATTTATTTATTTGACAGAAACCACAAGTAGGCTGAGAGGCAGGCAGAGAGAGGAAGGGGAGCAGGCTCCCTGCCAAGCAGAGAGCCCAATCTGGGGCTCAATCCCAGGACCCTGGGATCACAACCTGAGCTGAAGGCAGAGGCTTAAACCCACTGAGCCACCCAGGCACCCCAAGTCTTTAGGTTTTTTAAGAGGAAACTGTTCCATATGTAGCTGCAGGCTCAGCGTGTCTGTGGGAGAAGGTACGGTGATGATCTTCCTATGTAACCAACCATCTTGAACTGGAACCTCTTAATGTATTTCGAAAAGATACTCACTGGATTATTTTACATACTTTTGAAATTAATTTTATTTCTACAGGCATTCCTACAGCATCTGTGTTTACATTTCTGGTTTTGTTGGTGTGGGGGGCAGGGGGGTTGTGCATTCTAGAACTCAGAAAAGTACATCCTGGCAGAGTTGTATTTCTTTTTTAAGTGGGCTCCACTCAAAATCCTGAAATCAAGACCTGAGCTGAAATCAAGAATCAGACACTTAACAGACTGAGCCACCCAGATGCCCCCAGAGACTTTTTTGTTTTGTTTTACCTGTAGACAGATTATAGGTTTCCCTGTTAATTAAATGAGGAAATAATAGAACTGACTTCTCTTGCAGTTGTGAGAAATAATGGCATTAACGTTTGCAGGAATGCTCTAATGATCTCGGAATGATTCCAAAGAACCAGGAACAAAATCTAATACATAGGAGTTTAGGTATTGTTGATTTTTGTTTATGTTCTTCCAGTTGGATTCTTAAATGATAGCTCCTAATGTATTAATAAAATTTCGATTTGTGAAGTCCATATGTTTTAATATACTTGGTTTATAGAGGCACACCCCAAACACTCATCAGTTTTCCAGGTTCTCACATGCGCCAGGCTGCATTTTCGGTATGTTTTTCTGAATCCTTCTGTCCGTTTACTACAAACTAAAGATACTCTACTGCCCCTCACTCCTATTTAGTTCCCCAGCTTACTGACAGTTAACCTTGGCCCTTTCTCCATAACATAGAATTACAAGCCTTTTACCCAATGTCTTCTGGTCCTCAGGACAGGAAAAGTGATTCTTCACAGAAATATGATGATACCTAATTTCCATCCTCTATATGGGTGTGCCCTTGTTTTCCTCAAAGGGTTTAAGAAAAGAAAATATTTATAGAGGGATGCCTGGGTGGCTCAGTGGGTTAAAGCCTCTGCCTTTGGCTCGGGTCATGATCCCAGAGTCCTGGGATCAAGCCCCGCATCGGGCTCTCTGCTCGGCAGGGAGCCTGCTTTCTCCTCTCTCTCTCTCTCTCTAACTGCCTTTCTACCTACTTGTGATCTCTATCTGTCAAATAAATAAATAAAATCTTTAAAAAAAAAAAAAAGAAAAGAAAATATTTATAGAGATAAAGAAATGAAAAGGTCTGTTTAAAAATATAACAAAGTATGATATTTATAAGTTCAAATGTGGTACCCTACTAACCTAAAAATGAGAGATACTTCTGGGGCCTGAGAAAAGGAGTGGACCCAGGGTCTAGTATGGCTGAGGCCGGGTCTTTGAGTGGCTTCCTAACCTGGCCCCTAACCATCAGTCTCCAGCTTACCGCTCTACACGGTATCATCCCAACTTCCCACTTGCTCCACATACCGCCATGAATGGCATGGGTCTAGGGGAGTGCTAGATGCTAATTACAGCTATTCAGCAGAGAGGGAAATGAGACTTTCTCAGACCTCTATAACAGGGAAAGCTGTGTTTCTTGAGATTCCACAGGGGAATGAACTTTTCAGTAAATATATGGTTACAGAGGATAGTTTGATCTGGTAGCACTATAATGTGATGCAGTGTTTTTTAAGTAAGTATAGGTTAGCCTAAGAATAAAACCACCTCAGTCTTTGTTTTGTGTTCTCTCCCACTCTCTTTTTAACTTACTTATATCCCTCTTTTTTTCATTTATTACATGAGATTTAATTTTTTTGTTTGGTATTTTTTTCTTTCTGACATAAATAATACCATATGTGTTTTTGAGATGCCTTCAATAGAAATAGAACATTAGAGGGGGAGGAGTCAAGATGGCGGAGAAGTAGCAGGCTGAGACTACTTCAGGTAGCGGGAGATCAGCTAGATAGCTTATCTAAAGATCGCAAACACCTACAAATCCAACGGGAGATCGAAGAGAAGAAGAACAGCAACTCTAGAAACAGAAAATCAACCACTTTCTGAAAGGCAGGACTGGCGGAGAAGTGAATCCAAAGCGACAGGAAGATAGACCGCGGGGGGAGGGGCCGGCTCCCAGCAAGCGGCGGAGCAACAGAGCACAAAATCGGGACTTTTAAAAGTCTGTTCCGCTGAGGGACATCGCTCCAGAGGCTTAACCGGGGTGAAGCCCACGTGGGGTCAGTGTGGCCCCAGGTCCCGCAGGGTCACAGAAGGATCGGGGGTGTCTGAGTGTCGCAGAGCTTACAGGTATTAGAACAGGGAAGCCAGCTACAGAGACAGAGCCGAGGAGTAAGCTCTAAGCTCGGCGTTACCTTGAACCGGTCGCAGGCTCGGTCAGCTCGGAGCGCGGCCGGAGGCAGGGTGACGGGAGTAAATCGGCGCTGTTCTCTGAGGGCGCACTGAGGAGTGGGGCCCCAGGCTCTCGGCTCCTCCAGGCCAGAGACCGGGAGGCTGCCATCTTCATTCCCGCCCTCCGGAACTCTACGGAAAGCACTCAGGGAACAAAAGCTCCCGAAAGCAAACCCGAGCGGATTACTCAGCCCGGCCCCGGGTAAGGGCAGTGCAACTCCGCCTGGGGCAAAGACACTTGAGAATCACTACAACAGGCCCCTCCCCCAGAAGATCAACAAGAAACCCAGCCAGGACCAAGTTCACCTACCAAGGAGTGCAGTTTCAATACCAAGGAGAGCAGCGGAATTCCAAAGAAGGAGAAAGCAAAGCACGGAACTCATGGCTTTCTCCCCATGATTCTTTAGCCTTGCAGTTAATTTAATTTTTTTTCTTTTTCAATTTATTTTTCTTCTTCTGCTAAATTTTTTTAACTTTTACCCTTTTCTTTTTTAACGTTTTTTAACTAGTTTATCTAATATATAATATATATATTTTTCCTTTTTATATTTTTTCTTTATTGGTTTTCTTTTTTTAATTGTTTCTTTCTTTCTTCTTTTTTTTTTTCTTCTTTCTGAACCTCTTTTTATCCCCTTTCTCCCCCCTCACGATTTGGGATC